TGTTTGGCCGGGGCTGGGAGCACCCTGGGCTGGTGGAAGGGGGCCCTGCCTGTGGCAGACGGGCTGGAAGTAGGTGATTTTTAAGGTCCTTTCCAACCCAAACTGTTCTATGATTCTAAGTATATAAGTACTGCATCTTACACTGTACTTCCTTCCAAGCCACTGTACTGCAGAATCCAACACTTCCCACTGCTGTGTTTGTATGTAATGGATGCATATTTCAAACACTCAGAGCATCCAGCTCTGTGACCTAAAGACAGATGGAAGCTCTCTTGAAAAAAAAAAAAATCAGTGAGAGGAAAAGAATTAACTAATCCGTTCATTTTGTTTTCCCCTGGTAAAGACCTTGGGAAAAAAATGCTCTCCACCTCTGTGCCTGGCAAGATCTTTTTCCCTTTTTAAAAATGAGGATTATCTTTCCCCTTTTCCAATCACTGGGAACTTGACCAGACTGCCACAGCTTCTCAAATATGATGGATAGTGGCTTAGCAACTTCATCGGTCAGTTGCCTCAGGACCTGCAGATGCTTCTCATCAGGTCCCATGGACTTGTGCACCTTCAGCTTCCTTAGATGGCCTTGAACCCAGTCTTCTCCTACAGTGGGCAGTTTTTCATTCTCCCACTCCCTGCCTTTAGTGTCTGTGACTTGGGTGGTGGGGCTGGAGCACTTGCGAGTGAAGACTGAGGCAAAAAAGTTGTTGAGTACCTCATCCTTCTCCACATCTTTGTGTGGCAGGTGCACCCACACTGGTAAGAACCAGGAGTTCCCAGTACTGGTCTGGTGCTGGCCACTGTGCCCCGCCCACTGTGACCCCGGTCATGAACTTTCCCCCAGTGCTAAGAAGTGAAAGGCAGGACCCCTCAGTTGACAGGCAGGGTCCAAGCCAATGACCAGCCTCATCTGAGAGGAACTTCTACACTTCTGATCATAAATGACTGCAGGTCATATCCGACCAGGCTAGAAAAGGGACCCTCACCGAAAACACCCGGAGAGACAGTTCTTGGGAGCAGCATGCCTGTGACTGGGGACTTTTGCTGTGGGTTGAGACGTCTCCCACAGAAACTTCCTGGGATTGACTGCCCTCACCCTATTGGTGAGTGATTATTTCTTCTGGATATCCTTGAGTGAGCCCTCGCCCCTTCTGGGGTGAGTGATCCTCTCTTCTGGGCACCCTTGAGTGAGAGTTTCCCTGCTGTGAGCAAATGTGTGCACACCTTGGACCACCATTCTTGCGCAGTGTTGTGTAGTGACAGACCTGTAATTTGTTAAATGTTGTTGGGGTGTCGTCCTATTCAGCCCTCCCCGTCCTCTCCCACCTTGTTTCCTTAGTTTTGGTTGTTCAAAGTTTGTGGGAGTAGATCTAGGCACACAAACTGCATAGTATCGGCTCCCAGCTGACATCCTGAACCTGTAAATAACCTGTGTCTGCTGAAGTGTTTCTAATGCCAGATCTCTGTTATTTGACTGTTCTTCTTTGATAGCATTAAGCTGATTTTTGAGACATACTTTGGGTCAGCCTCACCCTTCTGCGACACTGACTGGCATAGTCAGTAGGATGTCGGTGGAGGAGCTGTTACGGGGGCATGGCTCTGCCCCCTCTACAGACTCCGGGACCTGCCTGGGCGCAGAATGAGTGGTACGACCCCGCAGCTGTCACAGAGCGAGCAGAGCAATGCCACAGCAAAAGCCGGGATGGCAAGGGAAGAGGAGCACCCTGTGCCATCCTGGGTGCCTGCCTGGTGAGGCCCTGAGCCTCCATAGGCATTACTGCCCCCTGGGAGGGGACAACCCCGAGAGGCAGATGGGAACGGATTGCTTTCAGAGCCGAGTTAGAGCGAAACCGAGCGCGGGCGCGGTTCTTCCAACAGAGGGTTGAGCTCATGGTGACCCAAGCGAAAAAGCCCCCCAGCGCCGCCCAAACCCGAAAGCCGACTGCAGGCACAGACCCCCGGGGGGGGACAGGGGCATCTGCGGAGAGTCAGCACCTGAGGGAGAAGCCTCGGGAGAGGGGGAGGAAGCGGCGGGGGGTTTAAA